CTTTTCGGGAAGAAATCAAATAACTTTCGAAGTAGATATTTCCCATTTTTTATGACACAAATTTCACGTTTTCTATGATAATCTGCTTCGCAAAATTAGGTAATATTTCCCCCAAAATTCGAAAAGCTACTCCCCAGAAAAGTCTATAATCTACTTTCCCGAAAAGTAGAAAATCTATCTACTTTTCGGGAAAGTAGATAACCAACTTTCCCGGAAAGTAGATATTTCCCATTTTTTATGATACAAATTTCCCGTTTTCTATGATAATCTACTTCGCAAAATTAGGTAATATTTCCCCCAAAATTCGAAAATCTACTTCCCCGAAAAGTCGATAATCTACTTTCCCGAAAAGTAGATAGATGTTCTACTTTTCGGGAAAGTAGATAACCAACTTTCCCAGAAAGTAGATATTTCCCATTTTTTATGATACAAATTTCCCGTTTTCTATGACAATCTACTTCGCAAAATTAGGTAATATTTCCCCCAAAATTCGAAAATCTACTCCCCAGAAAAGTCGATAATCTACTTTCCCGAAAAGTAGAAAATCGATCTACTTTTCGGGAAAGTGAATAACCAACTTTCGGAAAGTAGATATTTCCCATTTTTTTATGATGAGAATTTCTCGTTTTCTGTGATAATCTACTTCATAAAGAACAGGTACGATTTCCCCCAAAATTCAATCTACTTCCCGAAAAGTCGATAATCTACTTTCAGTGAAAATCTATCTCTTTCAGGGAAAGTAGATCTTTCCAACTTTCCGGAAAGTAGATTTTCCCATTTTTTATGATACAAATTTCCAGTTTTCTGTGATAATCTACTTCTCTAAATTAGGTAATATTTCCCCAAAATTCGAAAATCTACTTCCCCAAAGTCGATAATCTACTTGAAATGAAAAATCTATCTGCTTTTCGGAAAGAATAATCAACTTTCGGAAAGTGGATGTTCCATTTTAATGATACAAATTTCCCGTTTTGATAATCTGCTTCGTAAAAATTAGGTAATATTTCCCCAAAATTCGAAAATCTGCTTCCTGAAAAGTCGATAATCTACTTTTCCGAAAAGTAGAAAATCTGTCTACTTTTCAGAAATAGATGAACATCTTCCCGGAAAGTAGATATTTCCCGTTTTTTTGTGATATAATTTCACGTTTTCTATGATAATCTACTTCGCAATGTAGGTCATTCCCCAAATTCGAAAATCTACTTCCTGAAAAGTCGATAATCTACTTTCAGAAAAAGTAGAAATCTGTCTTTTCGGGAAGTAGTATTTCCCGGAAAGTAAGTTTTTCCATTTTATGGTACAAATTTTAGTTTTCTATGATAATCTACTTCTCATAAATTGAGTATTTCCCCAAAAATTCGAAAATCTGCTTTCAAAAGTCGATAATCTACTTTCGAAAAGTGGAAAATCTATCTACTTTTGGGAAAATGAATAACCAACTTTCGGAAAGTGGATATTTCCCGTTTTATGATGCAATTTCCGTTTTTCTATGATAATCTACTTCGCAAAGAATTAGGTAATATTTCCCCCAAAATTCCGAAAATCTACTTCCTGAAAGAGTCGATAATCTACTTTCGAAAAAGTAGAAAATCTTGTCTACTTTTTTCGGGAAAGTAGATAACCAACTTTCGGGAAAGTAGATATTTCCCGTTTTTTGCTGATACAAAATTTTCCCGTTTCTATGATAATCTGCTTCGCTAAATTCATTAATATTTCACCGGAATTTAATCTACTTCCCCGAAACGTCGATAATCTACTTTCCCGAAAAGTGACTATCTACGTTTCGGGAAAGTAGATATATTTCAGGAAAGTAGATGTTTTACATTTTTTGATGCAAATTTCCGTTTTTCTATGATAATCTTCTTCTTAGCAAATTAGATAATATTTCCCCAAGATTCGAAAATCTACTTCCCGAAAAGTCGATGATCTACTTTCCCAAAAAAGTGAAAATCTATACTTTTTCGGGAAAGTAGATAACCAACTTTCGGAAGTAGATGGCTTCCCATTTTTTATGATACAAATTTCCCGTTTTCTGCTGATAATCCTTCTCTAGAATTAGGTAATATTTCCCCCAAGTTAATCTACTTCCCCGAGAGTCGATAATCTACTTTCGAAAAAGTAGAAAATCTGTCTACTTTCGGAAAGTAGATAACCTTTCGGAAAGAAGTGAATATTTCCCCATTTTTTATGATACAAATTTCCGTTTTTCTATGATTATCTGCTTTGTAAAATTAAGTACTTCCCCAAAAATTCAATCACTTGAAAGTCGATAATCTACTTTGAAAAATTGAAAATCTATCACTTTTCGGGAAAAGTAATCTTTCTGGAAAGTATTTCCCGTTTTTATGATACGTTTCCGTTTTTACCTATGATAATCTACTTCATAAAATTAGATAATATTTCCCAAAGTTGAAAATCTTTCCTTCCCGAAAGTCGATAATCTGCTTTTGAAGTAGAAAAATCTGTGTCTACTTTTCAGGGAAAATGAATACTTCAACTTTCCCCGGAAAGTGAATATTTCCCCATTTTTTATGATACCAATTTTTCGTTTTCTGATAATCTACTTCTCTAAATTATGCAATATTTTTAAAATTCGAAAATCTTCGAAAAGTCGATAATCTGCTTTTCGAAGTGAAAATCTGTCTCTTTTCGGAAAATGAATATTAACTTTCGGAGAAGTGAATGTTTTACATTTTTTGTGTTCTACATTTTACGTTTTCTATGATTTATCTGCGCTTCATAAAGATGAGTAATATTTCCCCAAATTCGATCTACTTACGAAGAGTCGATAATCTGCTTTCCGAAAAGTAGAAAAATCTGTTCTACTTTTCGGGAAAGTAGATAACTTTCTGGAAAGTAGATATTTCCGTTTTTATGATGCAAATTTCGTTTCTCTGATAATCTTCTTGTTAAGTTAGGTATTTTCCCCCAAAATTAGAAATCTACTTCCCGAAATTGATGTCTACTTTCCCGAAAAGTGAAAATCTGTCTACTTTTCGGAAAGTGAATAAACTATTTGGAAAGTAGATGTTTCCCGTTTTTTTATGATACAAATTTCCCTTTTTCTGTGATAATCTACTTCTTTCTAAATTAGGTATATTCCCCCAAAATTCGAATCTGAAAAGTCGATAATCTACTTTCGAAAAGTAGAAAATCTGTCTACTTTTCGGAAGTAGATAACAACTTTCGGAAGGCGGGTATTTTCGTTTTTATGATACAATTTCCGTTTATATGAAATCTCTTCGCAAAATTAGGTAATTCCCCAAAATTCGAAAATCTGCCTGAAAAGGTCGATAATCTTTCTCGGAAAAGTGAAAATCTGTCTACTTTTCGGGAAGTAGATAAACAACTTTCGGAAAGTAGATTTTTCCCGTTTTTTATGATGCAAATTTCCAGTTTTCTGTGAGTATATCTACTTTCGGGAAAGTGAAATAACCAACTTTCCCGCAAAGTAGATATTTCCCATTTTTTATGATACAAATTTCCGTTTCTATGATAATCTACTTCGCAAAATTAGGTAATATTTACCCAAAAATCAATCTACTTCCCGAAAGTCGATAATCTACTTTCCCGAAAAGTAGAAAATCTATCTACTTTCCGGAAAGTGAATAACTTTCGGAAAGTAGATATTTCCCATTTTTTATGATACAAATTTCCCGTTTTCTATGATAATCTACTTCGCAAAATTAGGTAATATTTCCCCCAAAATTCGAAAATCTACTTCCCCGAAAAGTCGATAATCTACTTTCTCGAAAAGTAGAAAATCTATCTACTTTTCGGGAAAGTAGATAACCAACTTTCCCGGAAAGTAGATATTTCCCATTTTTATGATACAAATTTCCCGTTTCTATGATAATCTACTTCGCAAAATTAGGTAATATTTCCCCCAAAATTCGAAAATCTACTTCCCCGAAAAGTCGATAATCTACTTTCCCGAAAAGTAGAAGATCTATCTACTCTTCGGGAAAGTAGATAACCAACTTTCCCGGAAAGTAGATATTTCCCATTTTTTATAATACAAATTTCCCGTTTTCTATGAAAATCTACTTCGCAAAATTAGGTAATATTTCCACCAAAATTCGAAAATCTACTTCCTCGAAAAGTCGATAATCTACTTTCCCGAAAAGTAGAAAATCTATCTATTTTTCGGGAAAGTAGATAACCAACTTTCCCGGAAAGTAGATATTTCCCATTTTTTATGATACAAATTTCCCGTTTTCTATGATAATCTACTTCGCAAAATTAGGTAATATTTCCCCGAAAATTCGAACTTCCCCGAAAAGTCGATAATCTACTTTCCCGAAAAGTAGAAAATCTATCTACTTTTCGGGAAAGTAGATAACCAACTTTCCCGGAAAGTAGATATTTCCCATTTTTATGATACAAATTTCCCGTTTTCTATGATAATCTACTTCGCAAAATTAGGTAATATTTCCCCCAAAATTCGAAAATCTACTTCCCCGAAAAGTCGATAATCTACTTTCCCGAAAAGTAGAAAATCTATCTACTTTCCGGGAAAGTAGATAACCAACTTTCCCGGAAAGTAGATATTTCCCATTTTTTATGATACAAATTTCCCGTTTTCTATGATAATCTACTTCGCAAAATTAGGTAATATTTCCCCCAAAATTCGAAAATCTACTTCCCCGAAAAGTCGATAATCTACTTTCCCGAAAAGTAGAAAATCTATCTACTTTTCGGGAAAGTAGATAACCAACTTTCCCGGAAAGTAGATATTTCCCATTTTTTATGATACAAATTTCCCGTTTTCTATGATAATCTACTCCGCTCATTTTGGTATATTCAGCTTTTTTCAAGATGGCAGCGAAAGGTCACCTTGGACTAATCAGAATGTTTAGTATGTTGTTGAGGAAAGTACAGGGTATACCCAATAATTCTACCAAGTATCATTTCTTTATGAATTAGTTCAACATTTGGCATAAAAATTGTCTCATTTCCCTGGACTACAAAGGACACTGACTGGTAAAAAAATACTTGTGTGTGTTTGTCTAGTGCTTTATTTGTACAATGCACTTACAGCAATATATACAATCACATTTCGCTATGCAAGTACAAGTAGAGAAAAATAAATACAGAAAGATAATAAAATTGATAAATGCATGAGTCGAAGAAGAATGAAGTGGGAGATAATGATAAAATACATAGTAAAGGTGGAGAAATGGAGAGGGTAGTGCATTAATACCTCAAGTTGGGACAGCATAGACCAGGCATGGAGAGGGTAGTGCATTAATACCTCAAGTTTGGATAGCATAGACCAAGCATGGCGAGGGACCACACTCAAACATTGTATCAGAAACAAAATATTATTTAGTACAAAATAGAAATATGTCTTCATTTTCTTGAATTATTTTAACCAGTGTTTCCATTTAAAAATTATATATAAAAAGTCTCAAAACAAAAGATCTTATTTATCCTAATGGTTAAAAGGGAGACTCCCCTCTCTTCCATATTCTCCTTAAGTTTGGTGCAGAGAAACAATCAGGAAATAATAATAATGACAAGTTTATATATTTACTCCATTTTCAGTATGTTACCTCAACCTATTATATTATTAGCTGTAGTGAATATTGATATAATTTCCAGTCGTCATCGTTATACCCCTCGCCACACATGGACATATTAAGAGATGAGTCCTTACGACATGGAAACGGGAGACTGAAAATAGCTTAGTAGGCAGTCCGGTATTGTAACGTATTATTGTGCATCGACTGTAATTGGGCAGTCTTCCTATATTGGTTCAGCACAAAGGGCCACAATAGCTGAATCACAGTGATGTGACCATAACATTTAAAGATTCTTCAAAACATGAGGCATTTTTTTAATTACATTACTTAAGTGTACATTTTAACACAACTCTATCATACCTAAAGCTTACCAAAGGAGCTAACTTCATACAGTATCTGTACGTCAAGTGGCACAGTCATTCAATTGTTTGCCATTCTCTGTATTTCTCTCATCCAAAGAAAACTATAACAAGAGAAAATAATATGCAAATAGGATGATTTGATTACCATTTTCCTTAAAAAGTATTTCAAAACATAACTCTGTTTCTCTTCATTCTTCTATCCAGTCGTTTTCTTTTAATTGCCTTCCAAAAGTGAATTTTTTCACACTGTTGTAGAGGAGCATAAATATCCATATACATTTACTTGCACAACCAACACCAAATATCACTTGATCAACTCCATTTTTTTTTTCCAGAAAGCAGAAATCAGTTTAATTACTGCTCTCTTCTCTTCAACTTTATTATGCCAGTTGGATGCACTGTCTTACCATTTGCTCCTTCCATCAATACTGTATAATTAATTTTCAAAGCCTGGCACCTTTTTTTGTACTCACATTTCCTTACTCTACATTACTAAGAAATCTGTACTGTACACTGTATTTAAATATTTTGAAATATGAGATTCTCAAAGGTTCTTATAAACTTTCACACATGTCACTACAGCTGCTGTAACTACCATCATTTTAACAGTGCAGCTGTGTTGTTTCTCCCGTCAAAGAACCCTTCTTCTTGAATGCTGTACTGTATTTAATCTTGATTCTTCACATGCAGTAATTAACATGTATGGCAATAACATTCATATTATTGTCCTCCATACATTGAATAGAGACAACCACAGACAGTAACGGGTTTCTGTCAACATAAATTACTCACACTACTAAGATTAATAGTGCTAAAAAGAGGGGAGAAATGAAACTCTCTTACTTGGAAAATTTGCAGTGGTCAGTAAACTGTGCACAACTTTCTTCAAGTTCCCAGATATTATCCTGAACATAAACAAACTGTTTTTTTGGTATTCCTACTGCAGCAATATGATTTTTAAGCAGCATACAAATTGGTTACTTTCTAGTGAATATAAAAGATAATACAGATATAACTTGAACTTTTGTATAATATAATTGTCAAAGAAAGTACTGTAGTTATATCTATCTCAACAGTGATCACATTAAAAACAATGGTAACCAATGTGATGAAACTACACCTATAGTATATAGATAAACAGTACAGTACAGAATTTTCCTGTTAAACAATATGGAAAATCAATATACATGTAAATCTATTTGTGTTACTAGAGATCCTTCCATATATAACCTCTACCACACAGAAAATAATCAACTACAATTCACTTTCACTTCCTGCTTCTGTCTTTTACAAAACAGTAACATAAGCTCAAGCTCAAATACCGTAACTTTTTTTTTCAATACACTAAAGGTATAAATCCTGAATGTGAGAAATTTTGCACTTATGGTTCACAGTATGAATTTCTATCTTAATTCTACGTGTTTCCCATATATATTCTCTAGTGATAAAAGAACTAAACACCAGGTGGAAAGATTTAACATGGTCAATAATGTATACTTTGTCCTGACAACCTTCCCCCTCACCCCCACCATACAAATATTTTCATGTCTAATCATAGTCAGTTATTTTTTTGGTCTACAATTTATTATGCCTTAGATGATATTATTATCTATTCCATTTACATACTGCATAATTAAAGACATTCATTTCCTCTCACACTCAAACTCAAAATTTCCATTCATAATGTCATATATTCCTCCTCCATTAAACTGCCTCTCATGATTTAAGACATTCTGGCTCATATCCCACCTTATACTTATGACTCCTCTTCCTTTACCCTGGAGATTCTCTGCTATTGTCCAGCATCACAAGCTCCTTTTACAATCAAACTGAGGTAGAGTCTGAACGTGGACCCTGATCTTGTGGCATGAAGAAATCAAAAAATAAAATATAAAATTAATCAGAATGCAGTGAGGGTAAAATATGATGACCCACACAAGGAGAATCTTACTGTATAAAAGAGTGCTTTCTAATATAGTATAATTTTCGTCATGTGATTTTCATCATTATATAGACATAACTAACCTAAATTCTGTTGTATATGGGGACATCAATTACTTCCATGATGTACAGTACTAATGGATAGAAAAATTCTTTGCAAATTGTTCCTAAAAAAGAACTGTACAATCAGACAAAAGTATCTAAAAGCATGACAGTACTGTACAGATCTTACCAAAATTTGGTAAAAGAAAAAGAAGAAAAAAGTAATTATTTCTCAACTATTTTACATCAGCCATGATTAATAATTGATGAAAATGACAACGGAAATAAATAATAGGGAGAGATGCCCACTTAACATCACATTACCACAAGATCAAGTTTCTTGTATTAACCTTAACTCATTTCAAAGTACAGTATTACATGGGGTAACATAAGAACAAAACAATTATAAATATCATAGCAGCATCATTATGTACTGGATACCTTAGACTTGGTATATTATATGCATATGTTACATTACTGTACGTGTTACAGATAACATCTACTGTACATTTATCAATTAGGGTGTTATTGCTCTACAACACAGGGATGCTTACGACACTTATCTAAAACATTATCTATGTGTTATTGAAATACCATGCTTGCAGACGGCTTATTTATATAAGACCCTAACTTAGGTTTGTGCGCCAGCTTAGGTGAGCTCAAGTCACCTTAGGTCCTGTGGCCTCTCCTGAAGTGGGTGTCTGTTGCCATAAGACTAGTATGGATTAAAGTGAAAAAGTTTTCTTGTTTACTGATGATGCAGTAATACCATCCTAGTGACTCAGAGGGTCACAACTAGATAAGTCCACAGCATCCCACACATAGCATAATGTATGTCACTGGATATCTTCACTATCACACATCATTCAAAAGACCTATTAGTACTATGTACTTATTGTGCATTCCATTCAGTCATAAGAATGAAATTATTAATAAAATGGACAGTACAAAGCAGTCTCTTAAGATTTATAATGACACATAGATAGAGAAAGTCTACAGAGTGCAGATGTGCCCATTCTTTACATATCAATGGAAACAAGGCAAAAAAAGGTTTGTCTTTTCACTTGAGATCCTCAAAAGAATTCTTAACATGTAAAACACTAAAAGGCCAGAAGTACATTATTCACTGATATGAGATCTCTTCCATACAGCACTGAACTCTATGACTGATAAATCATTAACAAAATGTATAGATGCAACTGAACGTAGGTAATATGAACAGTGATCAGGATAATAAAATAAAATGTTTCACAATACATACGTTGATGCAGTTTTATAAATGATTCAGATTCTCTCTCTGTCTCTAGGTGTTGCAAAAGAGATTCACAGAATTCAAATACACCTGTACATAGATCTTCATCCTCTGGGAGGGGGAATCCAGTGAAAAAATTCCCCCAATTAAAAAAAACTTGCCAGAGACTCAATGTTTAAGATTGTAATCTTAGCTTCTGGTTCTCACAGAATAACCACATTAGTCCATACAATCACTCTTGAGTTTTCTGCTACTTGGCTCATTAGTGTCACCTTGTCAATGTTATCTTCATTACAATTATGATATAGAAGCAACTATTACCCATTTTCAGCACTTCTATCTAGCCACTACTATGTAAATAATGCTAATGTCTCTCTACATAACTTTTGGAACATTATAAGGACATATAATATATACAGTGTGTTGCATTTCAGGCCAGTGTTGAAGGGAAATCCTCCAGACCACAAGGCTGCACAGCTCGGTAATTTTCTATGAACTTTCCTGACACCAACACTTTCCCTGGCACATAGGAAATGTGTTTGTCTTACTTTCATAATTCTGTTTTACTAGAGGATAAATAACTTAATTCTACATATCCAATACTTTTTCTGCAACTTTAGGATATGAATTAACTTCAAACATGTAGGTGCACAGTTCTTAATTATTATTATGGCTTGTTTATAAGTCCGTGGATTAAAACATTGATTAGAATCTGAACAATAGATCTGTAAACCATGTCTTTTCCAGATATACATTCAGTGTGGTAAAATTTCGGTGCAGTTTCTCCAGGAGTACAGGTATTCTTAATCCATTATTATGACATAACCAACAGTCTAATACTGATAGACAGCTTATTGGGCTTCAGTGACAATTGCTTCACTATCATTGTTCTTCATCACTAACAGTCAAGCATTAACACTCTTGTTTTGTCAAATTAAAATGGATAAAATAACCCTGTGATGTTAACTGTTGCTGGTCACATGATCTAGGTGAAGGGCTAGCAGTTTCCGAAGGCGATTCTTCAGTACTGTAATGTCGAGGCTTGGTGTAGGTAGCTCCTTGATGAGGAGAGGGGATGTGCTAAGGGCAGGAGCGACAACACTGCTCTCGGTATGTTGGGATGCGACACATATTCATCCTCTTGACAATGTTGCAGTACTTACTCCGATCCCGACATTCTCTTGCCTCCTTGGCTTCCCCCTCACCTGAAGCAGAAGGGGTTATACTCTACTGTCATAATCACAGCTAAAAAAAATTAGTTTTAACTGACCACAGAACTTTTAAGTCAATGTCTAACATAAAATATTGAACAGTATACTGTACTTACACAGTAGAAGACCCAGAAGAGCAACAGCTTCAGTTGGTTAACAATATCATAAAAATCCAGACAAAAAACGAAAACAAAAAAAACATGTATATATAATAATGTACAGCACATACTATAATAATTATGTAATTGATTTATATAACAGATTTTCTTTATAACACTGAATGGAGGGGAGGGCTGGGGGAGGGGGCAGGGGGCATACAGCTAACTTGGTTGGTACTGGTGTTCCCCAACAACTGAGGCTGAGAGAGATTTTTGACAATACACTGTACAGTATGTACTTTCATTATAACAATTTAGTATATAATATTTTGACTCAGAAAACTGCAGCACTAAAAGCAAGAAAAATATGCCATTATCTTAAATTTATTAATCTGGTAAGCTTGATAGAGTGGTGTGACCTTGATGTTTATCACAGGGGCCTGAGACTAGTATACTGTATATTAATGGTTAATGCTGATAAACTAACTACCATAACTTAAACAAGACCCAAATAAATTACCAAGTTATCCTTGCTGTTAGGTTAGGTAAGCACCAGGGCAGTTAATCTTGAGCTGAAATAAGCTGGAGAACAAATCTTCATTTGATCCAATTTTTTTTCAGTTCTAGTATGTCTCCTAAATTCATGGCCCTTGTGTTTTTCTCTGGTATAAGAATAATGCTCAGCCTAATAATGCAAATATATGATTTGTTCGAGTGGTCAATGAGCCCATCAGAAGCAAAGAGGATAAAGTGAGGCGCTCTGATTGATAGTGACGAATCAATCAATGTCACCCAAATCAGATTCTTGATTCAGCAGGAAGCCTGAATCTTTCTCTACCTAATACAGGGTCATCCTTCTGTCGAGGATGACCAATAAACACTGTATTGGGTAGAGAAAGAGTCAGGCTTCCTGTTAAAACAAGAATCTGATTTGGGTGACATTGCTTGATTCGTCACTATCAATCAGAGCGCCTCACTTAAAGTTTCAGTAGAACTTATGAAGCTTATTTTGATCTATTATATATATAATGTTATGTTCTTTTTTTAGGTGTCACTATTATTGAATGGTGACAGAAATAGTGAAGCACTATTGAAATATTTCAAAATAGTTTTCATGTTACCTTTAGTTGCTCCTTGTATCTTGAAGAGACTAGTCTATGGAGATTTCAATCTAAATACCAAAATACAAAAAGTGTTATGTAGCTGTTGTGGCCAATGATAGTACACTGGTTTAATAGCTATGTTAAGGTTACTGATAAAATACTGTACTAAAGGATAATTATAATAAAACTAAATAGTGTCGTACTTACCTCTTTAGGAATCACCAAAATTACTGCATAAAACCTAAAACAATGCCTAAACTCTCACTATACCACTCCATAAAACGGTGATGAATAAAGACAAATGAGGGACTGAATTATAGAATCCTATTTAATGACAGAGGAACAGAGGCAAGTACAGGTAATTTGTTAGATCCAAATAAGTAAATGCCCTCCCTCTGTTTATAGTTTATTGGCAAGGTCAAAGTCAAAGAAAAATTATGTTTATGAACCAGGCTGTTCAGATTAGCAGTGACCAGCAGCCCAGGTCTGACTGAACTAGGGACTGGATAAGTGATTTCTCATGTCTATGTGCTCAGCAGCTGCCCAGCAAACACGTTAATATTTTGAGTGCAAAATACCCAGATGGGGATTTGTCAGGGGCAGCATAAGAACATAACAATGGAGGAAACTGCAGCGGGCCTATTGGCCCATACTGGGCAGTCCCGTTTACACCCAACCCCTATTGCTCATATAAGCATCCAACTTGTTTGAAGCTATTCAGTGTATTCGAGTTAATGATGATATTTGGTAACTTGTTCCACTCATCCACTACTCTGTTTCCAAACCAGTGTTTACCTATTTCACGCCTAAATCTAAATGTGTCTAATTTAAAACCATTGTTATGAGTTCGCTCCTGGTTGGATAGTTTGAGTACCTTTGTAATGTCCCCTTTGTTTAGCCCAGATTTCCACTTATACACCTCTATCAGGTCGCCCCTCGCTCTACGTCTCTCGAGGGAGTGCAAATTAAGATGCTTTAACCTGTCTCTATACTCAAGGTTCCTAATGCCCGTGATTAGTCTTGTCATTCTCCTCTGAATTCTTTCCAAGGATTCTATATCCATTCTGTAATATGGTGACCAGAACTGAACTGCGTAATCCATGTGTGGTCTCACAAGCGCAAGATACAGTTTTAGGAAGACCTCGCTAGTCTTGTAACTAACACTCCTTTGTATGAACCCAAGTACTTTATTAGCCTTGTTACGAGCAAAAACACATTGTTTACTTGGCTTAAGGTTCCTACTTATCATTACTCCTAAATCTCTCTCGCAGTCAGATTTCTCTATGGCATCGTTGTTCATCTGGTATCTGGTTTCCCTGTTTACATCTCCTATACTGAGTACTTTACATTTGTCCATGTTGAATTTCATCTGCCATTTTTCAGACCATTCGAAAAATTTGTTTAGATCTTCCTGTAGTTTTGCGGAGTCCTCGTCAGATTTAATAACACGTCCTATTTTAGTGTCATCAGCAAATTTACTTATGTTGCTGTCTATGCTGATATCTATGTCGTTTATGTATATAATAAATAATAATGATCCAAGTACTGAGCCTTGGGGAACTCCACTTGTGACGTTGCTCCAATGGGACTTAGTGCCGTTAATGCTCACTCGCTGTTTCCTGTCCTGTAACCATGCCCTAATCCATTTAAGGATATTACCTTTGATGCCATGTGCTTCTACCTTTTTAATTAGTCTTTCATGGGGGATTCTGTCGAAGGCTTTGCTAAAGTCGAGATACACATCATAATTGTGCCCCTCATCCACCGATTCGAAAACTAATGAAAAGAATGTTAATAGATTAGTTAGACAAGAACGTCCGCTTGTGAAGCCATGCTGGGAATCATTGATCAATCGGTGCTTCTCCAGGTGATTTCGAATAGAGTTTGAAACAGTCCTGGATCGTCTCGAGAAAATCCTCTGATTCTGAGTTACCCATAAGGTCAGTCCAATCTATTTGGCCAAGGTTAAAGTCGCCTACTATACAGACTTTGTTGTGTATGGAAGCCCTGCGCATTTCATCCCAGATAAGTCGCTCATTGACTCTATCAAGATTGGGAGATCTATATATTACTCCTGTGATTAATTTTTCCCTACCGTTGATTAATTCTATCCAAATTGTTTCTGTATTCCGCTCAGTTTTTATTTCCTTATTTATTTCACACTTCAGATTATCCCTAACATAGATTGCTACTCCGCCTCCTTTCCTGGTCTGCCTATCGGTATGGAACGATTTGTAACCCGCAATTTGGTATTCGACAGGCAACTCACGTGAGTCTAGGTTGATCCATGTTTCAGTGAATGCTATTATATCGATTTTTTCGGTACATACCAAGGCCCTAATATCATCCATTTTGTTTCTCATACTTCTACTGTTCGCGTAGTATACATTTAAGTTAGTCGTGTTCTGAGTCCTCCCTTTACTGCGTTTAGTTTTAAACTCCCTGTTTAATTTAGTTTTGTCATCATTCCTAACACTATTTCCCTGTAATCTTTTACTTTGTTTACCTGCTCCCACTGCAGTTTCCCCCACCCCCGTGCCCATATGTTCCCCTAGCAGTTTAAAGACTTCAATATCCTTTGAACTGCCCCCTCTAGAGACCCAGCCAGGGTTGCCACCCCATCCCTAGCATAAAGGTCCCTTCTACCGTAGAAGTTGTCCGAGTTGTCAATGAATGGGACTGTTATTGACTTGCAATATCTGTCAAGACGGTCGTTGACACCAACTGCCCTTGACAACCATTCACTGCCAACTCTCCTAGGCAGGACACCGCATATGATAGGGATCCCTCCCTTAGTCCTAATACGATCTATGGCTGCCTTGAACTTATCAAGAAGTTCCTTGCTCCTACACCGGCCAATATCATTGCCTCCTGCACTGAGGCAGATAATGGGTTTGTTCCCATTACCAGACAAGATATTGTCCATCCTGTCAATTATATCCCCCACCCCAGCTCCTGGCAAACACACCCTCATCCTATTTTTGACCCTACCTCCCTGTACATGTTTAACCAGTGAGGTCTCTCTCTCTCTCTCTCTCATGTGTGTTTGACCTGATGCCATAATTGTGATGTTACAGCTGAGCTGACTTTTCTGTTCCCACAATGACCTGACCTGCTAAAAAAGCCCAGGTGCAAGTTACAGCCTCAGTGACATCACAGCTGATCCCTCCTATTTCTGGTGGTCTGTTCTCACAGTGACCTGACCTGAAAATCTGTATAAAAACTTCCAGTGATTGCTGTGTGAGCAGAGTTATGCTACAAATTGTAGTGAAAACATCAACATGAATAAGAAACAAGGAAAAGTGACTGGGTTCTTCAAACACCACTGGAGGGAGGAGGGTGAGGCCAAAAGGCATTTAGACAGACACAGGTGATCTGTGAGTTGACACACAATAAATCTGAATGTTTTAAAATGTTTATATAACTTTCTCCATCACAAAACTGGGCATGCATGTATCCTCCAAAATCTGTCAGGGGAAGTAAATTTTAAGTCACTTGCCTGGGACAAGTAAATGTTCTGCAGAATCTGCTCAGCCTGTTATGAACCAATTATTAACAAACATAAACTTTATTTCATTAGTGAAGGGAGGAGACTATTAACCTATAAGATACCTCCATTAGAACACCCTCTGTTCAAGATTGCATTAGCTAGGGGCTTAACATGTCATCACATCAGGTTATACAATCCTAAGGATCACTATTAGAGCTGGAAACAGCAACTCATCCCATTAACTAGTGTTGAATCAAAGGTTTAACTTCTAATCAATTATCTCCTTCAAGAGACTGTGGGATT